CAACACGTAGCTTTACGTAGCTTCTAGGGAGATCGTCTCACCGTAGCTGTTAATCTGATCAAAAGACGTGTTCAATGGCATTAAAACGAGAAAAAACGCGGCTGAATCGGTTAATCCATAGGTTGATAAAGTTTCTGGGCAATAATTTGAATTATTTATAATCCATAATTCCATTTTTATGTAAAAATCGCAGAGCAAAAATTAGCTGCTAATGGTAGCCACCAGAGTGGCTGNCTGCTTCCGGTCTTGGCAATGCAGCAGTCTAACACACACACATGACTAAATAAGGACTATGTGGGAGTTCCCCTCGATTCCATTGGCTCTGACGGTTAGAAAGAGATGTCACATGTCAAAATCCAGCAGGGGGAGCCAGAGATAGGAAAAATCCACCCAAATGGCCCCAGAAGAGGTTTTTTTGTGCTAAATCTGTCCAAAAAGGTCAAATATCACTTGTTTTGCATCAATCTTGATACAGGGTACTTATTATATGTTGTACTTTGGATTCCTAAAGCTTTTAGTCTACTAACCCATCATCCAAGGTTAGTTTTCACTATAAGTACAAAATATCTTTTGGACGGACACTATCATTTACAGTTTTTTACCATGTTCAAAATTAATTTTCTTTCAAATAAAAAACATCTATATTGAATCTGACTTTTCTACATCCAACTGACAGGTTTATCATTACTTTGAGAAAAAAGATTATTAATTTAACCCTTTTAGAAGGGAAGATATGGTCATTTGTTCTGGGAATGTCATTTTTGAGCCTGAAACCTGAAAAACAGGCTCGGGGTTTAACAGGTTAAAAACACTGTTTATTGCTGTAAATTCTTAAAGTTCGACATATTAAATAAAGTCATTTCGGAAAAAAGGCACTATGTTCAGCTTATATTTGGTTACTGTTTCTGGCAGCAGCCTTTGTCACATGTTGAGTTCAAGGAGCGCCAGGATGTAAAAATCTGAACATATTTGATAGTTTTACAGTTTTTCCTTGATCAATGCTGAATAATTTTCGGTAAGACTTCACTTTAGATGGTTTTCAGCGCAGAATAGTCCAGCACATGCAGTATGTCGTGTGTCTCTGTGTGTATTCCTCGTATAGTCTCGAAAAAGTGCATGATTTCCTCTCATTGCCTTGATACCCGATGTATTCGTGACAATAGCATGGCTCTCAGATGAATGTGCTGAAGACAGATGAACACGCAGATAGACAGACACAGACAAAGCCTGACACGACTAAACCCAGAGAGAGATCGACGGGAGGAGAGGAAGTAAAGAAGAGGAGACAGTAGGAGACGCAGAGCCGGAGTGTAATATGGTGGCAGATTCACGCCTGGTGTCACACGGGGGATGAATGAAACGTCGTGGCGTGTTCGTCTCTCAGGGCGGCGAGGCTGTGAAAATGTGTGTCTGAGAAGGGAACAGCTGTCATTGGTTCCTCTCAACACACTGCCATCACCACTTGTGTTAAATATGAATTGTATCAGCGCTTATATTCCCCCATGGCTAAAAAAAAAGCTTGCCCCAGAACTACAATAAGCTAAGAGCTGTTTCTTTTTTTTAGATGCATTTTATTGGTGACTTTGAAATACTGTGTGACATTGTGTGTGTGGTGAGGTGAGGTTTCTGTGATGGTGAACTTCATATTAAATGTACACAGTAAATTAAAGTAGAACTTCACCCTCATCCCAATTACTCACCTTGTGTGACTTTGAATTCTTGAGGGAAATGTATTGATGAATCAAAGAGGCTCTATTATGTTTTGGTTTTGGTGTGTTCTATAGGTTTTAGTGCATGTAAATGCCCCCCCTGCCTGAAACACCTGCATTTAATTCCTTTGTTTACTTCCTGAACATAGTGACATCACTATGTAACACCCATGCTTCTATTGGCTAGCGCTCCAACACAGAGGACTCGTTAGGCTAAGAAATGGGACGGTTGACCAATCTCAACAGAGCCGGCCAGCTAACCAATCAGAGCAGACTGGGCTCTGGTTTCAGACAGAGGGTGAAAAGAGATGCTGCAGAGCATTAAAGCATGGAGACCCAGTAGAGGCAGAAAATACTAATATGAACCAATCATAATGGTTAAGTGAAATTGCATGTGTTTGTAAAATAGTGGGCATACCATTCAATAAAAGAGACTTGGCTCATATTGCAAAAGTTACGGTTAATTCAAACAGATCATTTGAGACTGTTTGCTGACTTTAAACACACACCCATTTACTTCCATATTTGATGAATGTTCTCATTCTTTTTGATTCCTCATTAACCTACAAGGTATGCAAGAAAAAAATACTTTCTTAAAGAATACAAGGTAACTAGATGTGAGTAATTGATATTCAAATGGTCATTTCAGGGAGGATTTATTATTTATTTGCAGTTTTATTGACCTGAATGTTTTTATATGTATTTTTTGATTCATTCCTGCATGTGCTCCCTCCTATCCAGGCCTGTAACGAGTTCACCACCCACGTAATGAACCTGCTGCGGGAGCAGTCGCGCACGCGGCCGATTTCGCCCAAAGAGATCGAGCGCATGGTGAACATCATCCATCGCAAGTTCAGCTCCATCCAGATGCAGCTGAAGCAGAGCACCTGCGAGGCCGTCATGATCCTGCGCTCACGCTTCCTCGACGCCAGGTGTGTGTCTCTCTGCATTTTCATACACACCACGCAAGTGCTGCAAATAACCTCCCAATTTAACAACATGGCAACTCATCATGTGCGCCTCATATCCATATGAAAGGCTGACGTAGGAGGCCTATCATGCCACAAACATGCTGTAACACATGCTGTTTGCTGCTCACCACAGACATTTGGACCAGCATCCCCAGCAACGCCGGCCAATAAGAGTTCCCGGCGTGCTCCAGAGTGCTAACTGTTTCCCTTTTTTAATGTAATCGCTTGTTCCTTTTGATGCATGTTTTGGATTTGCATACATTTCTCAGAGGATAAATGTCACTCAAAGTCTGGAGTCGGAGGCACAACATTTAAATGAGGCATGCGCTTCATTACAAAGCTTCCTATCTATTCTCTTGCAAATGATGGTGGTGGTGCGGCAGGGTGGGGGGGGGTGGGGGGGGGGCTTTCACTGGCTGAGAGGCACTGCCATGCTCGGCGCCGCTGATTAATCTACTGGCTGCTGGAGCTCATGCTGGGAACATTTACATATTCTCAAGCAGGCTTTGGAGTGCGGGACAGATATGTGAGCAGAAATCTCCTCAGCGGTGGGTTCAGGCTCAGAGAGTGTTCAGGGTTCCCCGGCAGCTTAACTTAAGCCCTCTTTAGATGTGGCACACGCAGACGTGACCTGATAGGTGCAGCAGATAGAGGGTCAGTCAACTCATGGGCATCAGCATGTGATATCTGTCTGCTCTACGGTGTGTGGAGAGTGGGGGGCTTCTGACTGTTTTTTTTAATATTCGATATATTCAGCCTTGTTAGGATTTTTCTAAATGTGATTACATTTTCACTTAATCCTAAAAAAATGTAATCAAACCCCATATTATTATATTTCGACCAATAATGTAAACAATGAATGTGCTGACTGATATTGTAATTACATTTTTGCCAAAAATGTGTTATTGTTCAGGGATATTTTAACTGATGATGTAATCATTTTAATGGACATTTTATACAATTTTAAAAGCATAGCATTTACATGTACATGTTCAATACTAATAATATATACATTAAGATTTTTGTATATTTGCACTAAATGTAATATTTGTATTTCAATTTTGAAATATGTTTACTAATTTTCAAGCCAATGTTACATTATCACTAAATATGATATTAAAATACAAGTCAGGACTAATTGTTACGATATGATTGAAATTATTACATGACAAAGTTTTATTACATTTGATCACATGTCAGATGGTAAAAGCTTTTTTTTCTATGCACGCTGGCATGCTAGAAGATATAATTTAGATTATCTTTGTGTTTGTAATAAGACAAAGTTATTCTGTATGAAGTTGAAAACAGTAGTTGAAAACAGGCTGGCCCAGTAGTCGGCTGATCATGTCCTGTGTGAAACTACGTCTGTAATTCAGGAGACAATAGGATTCCCTGAACACGTAGTTGTATTGCAATGTAATATTTAAGAGAAAGTGTTATTTCAAACAAAGCAGGCAGTTGTGTTCAGCAGCAAACAGGTGACACACAGGGACAAACTAGCTGGCAGACATAGCGGAGGAGTGGATGTGCTCTCATTATGTTTTTTGCTAACGTTTATTCTGTGGATTGTTTGGAGCATGTGATGAAAACTGATTAACTTATCAATCAAGGGACCAGAAACACCGTTTATTTTGGTCCGAAAATGTGTAAATAAACTGGGCAAACATGTTTTACAAGACAACTTGTCAATGTTGTGTTTACAGCTTGCTGCCCCCAAGTGGTCAAAAAGGTTGCACACAAAAGTAATGTTGCTCCAGCAAGAGCAAGGAGAAACAAAGGGAGAACATTTTGGAAAAACATCTTGAACGCTAGGCAGGAGTTAGTCAGACCTAAAGGACCTGTCCTGCAAAACATTATTATTATTTCTGGTTTATTTTGTTTCTCATAGGGTTCAGGTCAAAGAGAAGGTGCTTTCAAACCCTGACTGGTTTAAATGTATATTATTAATTATTTGAAACCTTAACTCACTAAAAGGAAATACAAATGTTTGTTCTTTTAAATAATAAAAATATGTATCAAATCATTAAAAGGTGTTGCTTTTCAACCCCTAAGTGGTTTAAAGGATAAAAGGAAAAAAACACAATGTTGTTTGAATGCTAAATCATTTAAAAGAATGAATACATTTTCGAGATTAAACATAATCAAAATATAATAAATTATTTAAAAAATGCTTTGTATTTTTTAAACCCAAATTGTTCAAAAGAAGACTAGGATGGGTAGAAATAAATCTATCTAAAGAGACGGTGTGATTTGCATCAATGCACTCCTCTATCCTCTCTAAGCTGTTGTAATGAACGTGAACTGGTTTCCTGTTCCTGTTTGAACTTCTGATGCTTGTTCTTGCAGACGGAAAAGACGAAACTTCAACAAGCAGGCGACAGAGATCCTGAACGAGTATTTCTACTCACACCTCAGTAACCCGTACCCCAGCGAGGAGGCTAAAGAGGAGCTGGGAAAGAAGTGCGCCATCACAGTGGCCCAGGTACAGAACAGTGCACCCCCCCCCCCCCCCCCCTTACACCTGTAGTAAAACCACTGAGACAGTTTCAACAGTGAAGCAGCTGTAATCGTCTTGGCAAGTAACCTAAGAATACATTCTGACTGTCATGAGAACAGACAGCTGCTCTGATCTCTCAGCAGCACCTTTCATTGAGACAACAAAGGGCTCCAGTAGAAATATGCCCTGTCATGAGTTTGTTGTCGTGTAATTCAAACCAGACAAAGTTATTTTTGACCACTTTGTGTTTGTATTGAAGTAACACAAGCTAAAACAACAGTGCTGTCATAGCTATTATCTAATCATAAAGTTTTCCTATATTACACAAAATGTTCAAAAGTGAGCTGTTACCTAATCACTTTTTTTGATTGTTGAAATTAAAAGTAACTCTGACTTTGATTCATATGATTATAAATGTCAATGTTTTTTGGCTAGTCATCAAAACATTTGACAAAAATATGAATTGATTAATAAAAAAAGATCAGTTGTGAAAACATCAGCCTACAGTTTAAGGAAATAATTACCATTAGCTCATTAGCTTCTGCAAAATTAGCGCTGCAGTCATTTGAGGCATGTGCAGTAAAGATTGATTATAAATCTTATAATAACTTACTGTGTATCTAAAGACACTTAAGATGTTTGTTCCAATACTGCTGACAAGCCATGAGAGTTCAATATTTAAGCACCTTGCTTTTTTTCACCTTTGCTTTCTAGCGCTCAAGTTGTTTCAATCCTGTGAGAATTGATAATAAGCGAAGCCACGCCAAGGTAAACAGCAGTTTGTGTTTTGAATCCATCATTTGGGAATGGATTGTTTTCTCAATTGGTTTCATTAATTTATACCAAATGATTGGAGGATGCATCTGGGCCTGATTGTGGAAGCTGCTCGGCGGCGGGAATGATTTGTCGAGTTTCCGTTTCTCGGCCATAATAAAGGAGAATGTTTACCTAGTCTGTGTATTGGAAACTTTGCAGGATTGATTTGGTTTTCATTTTAATGTTGTTTATCATTAGCGCTGGGATTACCCCCCTGGCTTCATCTGGGAGTCCATTAGCAGTAATGGGCGTTAGCGGATGTTGACTGATTAGTGCTTGCGTGAGTTCTGATGATAGCTGCAGTCATGGTGACATAATGAGACTGTTATTGGCAATCATTCCATTCTGGCACTAATGCAGATTCACAGCACCAGTCTATGTAGCCCCTACCTCTCTGCAGTGTAACACATGCCATTAAGGCCATTGGAGCTAAAGACCACCATTATATCTCTGGATTCTTGCCCTCAGATGTGGAGAGGCTGTGTTTGTTCTGATTTGTGAGCATTAAACTACATTTTTTTGTTTGTCTGCTCAGGTTTCCAACTGGTTTGGGAATAAACGAATCAGATACAAGAAAAACATTGGTAAGTTCCAAGAAGAAGCCAACATGTACGCTGCGAGAACTGCCGTGAATGCGGCTAATGCATCCTCACATGGAAGCCAAGCAAATTCACCCTCAACTCCAAACTCTGCAGGTGAGACAGGAAGTCCCTGGCTCTGATCAGCTACTAGACATGTACCTCCTCTCTGTGCATTACTAATCAAAACATTTCAGTTTATTAGTGTGAGGCCATTTCAATGCTGGTGCTGGTGATTTGTAAGGAATTAAATATTATGGACTAACAAAACAGGCAGTTCTTTTACAACTGACGTGCCTATCACCTAGTAAAGCACCATTATTATATTGATAGGTTCATATTAACAAAAGCCACTACCCCATTAGAGCAAAACTGTGTCAGGGATTAGCCATCCTGAGCCCCATGCCAAGTCTCCCTATGCTTATACTGTCCTGTTGTCTTCATCTCAATTAATACTATTCTTCATTTATGACTATTTAACTCTGTATCCATCATGTTCTACTGTACTGACATTCAAAGGATAGGTTTGGTAATATTCATTACTTCTTTCCTAATGTTGACAAATCTCATAAAAAGACTAAACTAACAATTGTCCTGATATATCTTCTTCCTTTGTGTTTTGGAGCTACCTTTTTCTAAAAACTAGTGAAAACACATCGATGAGCCTCACTGTTGCACCTCATTAACATGAACACACATGGTATTGCTTTGGGGTCAATATCACATAAATCCCATTTGAAACTAGTGTTGCAACAACTTGTGGTTCCCTCGTATTGAAGTCTAAAAAAATTATGTTAACACAAGCTCAAAAGATTCTCAAGTTTTATGACATCAAATATTTCAGGAAATACTCCACTCTTAATTGTGGAATCTTTAATGAGTCTTAATAGAGGTGCTTGCTAGCAAGTGGCTAAATGAAACTAAGTACGTTGTTGGAAAAACTCAACGTCGTCATGCCTTTTTTAGCTTGGCACTGAGAACCACTGATAGGGCAGCACAGTGAGAAAGTGCTTTGCCTTTTTATGAGAATTGTTGACAATGAACAAAATGTTACTAGGTGTATCTTTTTCAAATATGGTCCATTATTTTTGAGACATTTGTATATTTGACATCATATCAGTGCTGTGTCTCAATTTGGATACTTCTGCAAGTACTAAACTGTCTACACTGTACTTGCATAGTCCCTGAATTTTTACAGGGCATTGGTTTAAAAAGAATACGGCTGATGTGCACTTAGTAACCATCTCCACTGTTAGCCAGCTAGCTAGCATTTGTGTTGTCGTTTAAAGTTGACTGCTGAATTGACTGCTGAATTTATATTTTTATTATATTATATTTATACTAGTTGCTTCATCCGGCAACAATAAAATGGTACCTAATTTTAAAAAATAACACACGTACCTTACAATTGTATAGAAGTGTTCAACAGTGCTTGAATCTGAGAAATGTCAATAGCGATATAATCACACCATCTTGGTACTCAAAGCGCATTGTATTTCGCCATATTTCTCAGTATGAACACACACTCAAAATAGCAAGTGAAAGTACAGAAGAATGCAAATTGAGATACAGCACGCAACAGGAAGCATGTTTAGCCAAACATAAAACGCGTATGGATAGCCGATGCAAACACCTAGCTTAGCAAAAATGTGGTGGGGGGAAATACTGAATAGACCACTCTATATCAGATTTGTTTTTACATGATTTGACCTGTTGTACCAAGTAGTCACCAAATACATTGAAAAGCGCCACAAGTTTTGCTGGAAATGCATTAGCATTTAAGTCAAATTTGACTCTTATTTCCCTATAGTGTTTTGTGCTAAGCTAGGCTAAACACATCCTGCCTACTTCTGTAACTGACCTCGGGTTGGACAGAAATAAAGAACATTCGGAATGCTTTTTCAAGACTTCTCTTTTTTCCTAGTACCAGTAATATACAAATAACTTGCTTGTCCATGTTTGGATGTAAAGACTTGACCCAAACGCTTGCTGTGTGGGGTTACAGCTGTTTCTCTATTATCCATTAGTTTCCTGTATGGCTCCATTCCTCTCCGTGTGGCTGCTAGCTAACCTCTGCATGATGCTCCTTTGACTTGCTCCCCTTGCTTGCTCTGTCTCTCTGTGATGCGACTGCTCCGTCTCTCCTTTCAGGTTCTGCTGGCTCTTTTAACATGTCAAACTCCGGGGACTTGTTCATGAGCGTGCAGTCTCTCAATGGGGACTCGTACCAGGGGGCTCAGGTGGGAGCCAACGTGCAGTCACAGGTAGGGCTGTGAGCGGATTAGCAGATAAACAGGGGCAGGCCCACTTACCATCCCAGTAGAGAGTTTGACTTGTCATGCACAGGTGTAATTATTATCAATAATTCAACACATTTCAGCTGAAGTTTATTAACGGATTTGTCGATTTTGATAAAAAATGTAGGGATTTTTAGGTTTTTTCAAGCGAAAAGAGTGCTACAACTCCTATAATCTCTATTCTAGAATTTCATACTTTTACTTTTTCATTTATCATTGTAACCTATAAATATCTATGGGGATTTTGACTTTTGGTCAAACAAACCAAGAACTTTTTGATGGCCTTTTTTGGGCTTTTTTTTTGATTATTTGAAGAAATATCTGCAGATTAATCAGAAATGACTCAACTCCCAAAACCACCTACATTTAAAAAATGTATTTACTTAATTTTTATTATTCAAAATTGAATATTTCTGAGTTTATAAAGTAATATATTTGCGTGAAACTAAACGTATATTTTTTAAACATGGTCCTAATCTGTTTTCATTTAGAGCCATCATTTAATGCTATGATTAACTGCTGGTTTTAATAATATGGAAAGTTAAGATGTCTGTCGTGAAAAAGGACTATACTTGCCCCTCTATAAAGTTTCTTCACAAAGGCAGAATACTTCACCATGGGAAGGGATTGTCATTTTAACAAAAAAAAGCCAACGTTTTTATCATAAAAGTATTTTTTTGTTTGGTTGGACCTTGTCTTCTCCAGAGATGTCCTTGCAGCAGTGTGCTCCGTCTCGTCTCCTCTCTGTTCTCTAGTGTTGGCTCTGACCTTGCTTTGTTTGTTGTTTCTGAATGTTTCAGGTGGATACCCTTCGCCATGTTATCAGTCAGACAGGCGGATACAGTGAAGGACTCACAGCCAACCAGATGTACAGTCCGCAGGGCATCAATGTAAGGATTATTTTTTCTCCTTTCGCTCCCTACCAATTATTTCAAAGCCATAGGGCTCAGAATGCCACTTAGCGGGACTTGTCTATGCTCCACCGCCACCCTAGTTGATTGCTTGTGTATCTCGCCCGCCATGGGCAGCACGCTGTCCGGCATACGCATGCATGTGGCCGGACACACACGCAGGGCCGCCGTCTGAGCCTGTCACGTCGCATCAGGCCTGGCAGAGCACCTGCAGCCACGTACAGTCAGCCATGAGCGAGCGGCACCACCAGGTGACACCTCCTGCCCCGGCCTTCAGATCCCTCTGACCACCTGACCCGTGAGCAGCAGCCCCCGCGGCCAGAAGCTCCCACAAAGACAACACGGCTAAAAATAAAACCTCACGCCACTGGGAACAACTCCTCACACTGGAAAAGGATAACAAAATAATAAAAACAAGGCGTTTAGTTAAAAATCATCTGCCAATAGAACACGTTAAAATGTGCTTGGTAAGATTTCTTGAAATTATTTAGATAGGTCTTGTAATTAGCTGGGAAAGCGTACTTTTATTTTACCAGAATCTGGAAATGTTGTGTTACAAAATAAACCACAAGTGCTCAAGGTTTTCTGATATTAGTTTTCCAAAATCATGTTATTTCTTGAAACAAGATCACCCATCCTTTAAAAATACTAGAGCAGCTAAAAAACTTGTGTCATGCTTGTTTCATCTGAGATAAAACTCAAAATAAGATTTTTTAAGAGTATTTTTAACCTTATCAAGATACTTAAGATGCATTGTGTAAACACGACCTTCTACCTCACTGCATTGTCACTTCTTAAGTTGTTGTGTCTTATATCAAGAGTAAAGATTCAAAGGCTTTCTGTCTGCAAAACCAATGTGCAAGTAATGCAGAGGAAGCAAACTATGTACATTTAAAAAAAAAAATACAATAAGCTAAATGTTGCAGAGACATATTCTGACTAGAAATGAGTCAGATATATTTGGCAAGATTTCACATTTCTGCAGTGCATGTGCCATCAGGACGTGTTCCCTTCATCTTTGTGAAGAAGAGTTTGGGGGTAGAAATGGGGGTTGTTATCAAGCGAGGGGGNGGGGGGGGGGATTTTGCTCGCTGGCGGCTGCAAACAGTAGGGAAATTCACAGCGACAAGCCGTGTCGTAAAGGGGAAAATCGATAAGACAGACACAAGGAGAGCAGACTGTGGACTTGGGACAGCAATCCAAGCGCATTGCTCTGATCATGCTGCTGCCACGCTAATGGCCCTGACAGCGAGCCCCTGCTCAGAGCGGGGGGACGATCCTCCGCTCTGAGCAGGGGGACGGTCTCCGCTGGCTCCGTCGTGCCTCAGCGGCCATATGATAATCAGATGAAATGTCTCCCATATAAAAACATGTATGTGTATTGAAATGGGCAGCTGTGAGCCCGGAGAGGCCGCTAACGTATTCAGGCCCCGTCCCCCCCAGTCCTCGGACCTCACTGATACGGTTCTCCTTGGACGCCTGCCTGCTCTACCACATCTTACACTGCCACAATATGCTGTGTTATTCACTTTTATACCCTGTAAAGAAGCACGCAATGCATAATGTAAGAGCGGGGTATCTGTCTGCAGCCTGTTGGCCTGTGATTTATGTAGCCGAGCAGTACGTTAGGACTTCTGGCTTCTGCACTCTGCTCTACAGTTCCTGCTGCTTTCTGTCAGAGTTGTTCATCCTGTATGCTGTACGTTACCTTTTATCTCAAGCTCTTTCCGGTTTGTTTTAGCTCCTACATTTCATAGCAAAGAGATCCAAATTGATTATACTATGCACAGTGGCATAACAAGGTTGTGATTGGCCCCGGTGCAAATATTGTTTTGGCCCCCCCCCCCATCGCCCCAAACATAAACGCACGCTGATGCACTCACACACGCACGGACGTACAGTATGTCTTGTCGTTTCTCTTTTTCTGCCGAACTTGCTGCTGCTAGCTACAGTACAGTACAGATTGATTCAACGGTTCGCTCTTCACGCAAGGTATCACATGACATGAAAGGGAGCAAGGCTCATTGGACAGACAAATTACAAATTCATTTAGGTTGCTTGGTTACTTTGAAGACTGCGTGAACCGGTCAATGCCATTGGGGCCCCAAAAAATATTTTTTTCGAAAATATATATATATATATATTTTTTTGTATGGGCCCCTGGCCGGCTCTGGGCCCCGGTGCGTTACACCGGCTAAACCGTCGATAGTTACGCCACTAACTATGCAACTGATACTGTACATTTTAAAGTAATCTTGTGTCTCCACTAAGGAATATATTCAAAATATGCCAAGATATCAGCTTTAGAGGTCTCTTACAACCAGTGGTACTCAGATCTGGTAGTAATACTGCAGTTTAGAAATACTTTGTTACAAGGGAAAATGATCAATAATAATAATATTAATAACAATAATAGTAATAACAATAATAATAATAATAATAGTAATAATTAAAATAATAATGACAAATAATAATAATTTAATTAAAATGTACATTCATAACACCCCTTTTTAATATATTATGTATTGTATGGTTGGATTATTAAGCTCAAATATTCATTTAGTATTGCATTATTGCATTGTTATTGCAAACGGTAAATGTGTTGCTGATCTCATTATTACACACACTGCCTGTTATCTTAAATGTCATTTCTTAAATATAATAATCAATGAAAAATCGAGTCTTTGTCCGATGAAATACGTCATTATTTGTAGATAGTATTTTGTATTATTAGTCAAGTCAAGTAGAACTTAAATTGCCTTAGTTATTGCCCTGCAGAGTCAAATGAAATATCGAATGCAAAATAAAAAAGCGAGTTGAGACTCCAGTGTGACCCCCACTCACTGTCTGCCATCTCAAATAACAGGCTGGGAAATGAAAGGCTGTCGCAGTCTTTCTGATGGCTTTAAACCTATTATTAATATCCTAAAATGCTCTTTAGCCGGCATGTCTGTGCAGAGGACGGCTCTCCGCTGCTCTTATTGAATGTTAATTCCTGCTGTCAGCGTCACAATTAGTGCAAATGACGTTGATTGCACGTGTTTTTGTTTCAGAGTTCTTTTCATACAATTCCCATATATTATTCATATTCAGAGTGAAAGTGACAGGCACTTATTTCAAGCCCAAATCGTTGTATTTTCTTCATTATGTGAATTTGAGTATGCAGCGCCTGATGGGGTACAGACTGTAATTCACTCGACTTCTGCTTGGTTGAAAACATGATTTTATATTTTATTATGTCAGTCTAGCTTTAGGCTAACATACAGTATTTCCCAGCATTCCCTGCTGCGCTCATACACTACCTCGCACTCAGGACTTCCATGCATTGTACCTCACTGTGTTGCTGCATTGAGGAATGAATATGAAAGTAATACCCCCCCCCCTACCCCCTTTTTCCTCTCAGGCAAACGGCGGCTGGCAGGATGCTCCGACCCCCTCATCGGTGACTTCGCCCACAGAAGGACCCGGAAGCGTTCACTCTGACACCTCCAACTGATCCTCCACCCCCCCACCCCTCCGTCCTTAACTTCCTCCTCCAAATCTCCCAAAACTTAACCCCACCCCCCCCTCGGGCTGGATGTACTGACTTTGGGGTCTGGGATGACATTAACGGACAAATATTTCACTTTTTTCCTATCTGGACCGCCGTGTAGGATGACTCATACCCCCCTCACAGTTTGTACAGTTTCCACTCGATGTCCATGTTGCCTCTTTGTATTTCTGACAGTACACTCACGCAGTAGGCGCACAGCTAGCAGAAAGCCCCCCCGTATTGTAAATTGAAACGCTCCCATATGTTCTCGATTCGGAACATCAGAAAACAACAGGCTTCGGTTTTACTACAGTGGTAGCACTTTCTATGACTTCCATGTCTATAATGCATTATTAATACACTTATAATGCAATATAACCTGCTTGTAAGCACTCTTTAATATTCATAATGATTTATAACAGCAATATTAACACATTATAAACCATTTTATGAAGACTTTTAAGGTCAGGTATCATAATACTTCATATTTGCTGTCAATTCACTGACATGTATTTGCATAGATCATAGTGTATTGTTTTTTCCATTTGTTATAATGCATAATAATTGTTTTATAACACATTATACTCTTTTTATAATGAATTACAATGTGATTATAGGTTACTGTGATATTATTGTTTGCTTTGAAAAAGTTTAAAATAATCTTACATGTTTCGTATGTTCTTTAGATTTAATGATGTTTTTGTTCACAGTATTGAAGGCAAACAACGTTAGACTAACTTATAATCACATTATAATGCATTATCATAAGATATCCATTTAAAAATAAACTCTTATTACAATTATTTGAAGAAAAATTCTTGCAAAAATAAAATTATAGTGTTGTGATACACAACTTTATGAAATGTTGTTCATGTTAATATAGGATTACAAAGCAAATGTATGCTATTAACTATAATTAAAGAGTGCTGCAAGCAGATTCTATGTAGGTTTATAATGCATTACGGACATGCATAGAGAGTGTTATCACAATTATTTTTATAATTATTGAAATGTTACTGTACACACACAGTACTCTTTAATACTGTGTTCACACTTTTTGTTTCATCTATAGTGCCAAAGTTCAACCCTGGAGGTGAATTTTGATCATGTTTTTCAGGTCATAATTTGTGAAGTATTATAATGTCCTGTCATAATAATCAGGTAATATCCCAGGCTTGATTTGTATAGTTTGTATTCAGAACAATAATGAACAACAGATTCAATTTTTTTTGCAACAAATAGATTCCGTCATGCTTGTTGGCGGCATCCATAATATTTATAGAAGAATTGACCTGAAACACTAAATGAATGACAACGTTGGAAGCCATTTGGGCGTGTCAAAAAGTATCAAAGCACAAGAACATGTAATGATTAAGCTCAAAAGGTAAATGTGTCAAAGAAAACAATGTTAGAATGTAACTATAGGAGTTATGTATGGAAGACAAAGAGTGCACGTACATGATCAAACAGTCGGTGTGTATTAGTGAGGTCAATATAGCCAAATACTGCTGGTAACCAAATCCACCACAACAACTGTCATTCAGATTTGAAGGTTCCATGTTTGCATGACTTTTACTCTGGATTCACTTTTCATTCATGGAATTATATTTGTGTAAAAATCCTGATAGCAGGTTGGGAAATGTTGAGCATATTTAAGATTAAATTAAATTATTCTTTACACCATAAGAAGAATGTATTTTCTTTGCAAAGAAAATTGTACTCAAAATGTCCCATTGCTCAGTATTTTTGCACAAATGTACCTCCATACACAGTCAGTTATTAACCCGTAACCCCTGTTTTCTAATTGTATTATTATTTGAATAACTTTATATTTTCCAAATACTTTTAGATTTCTTTTTTAAATTACACTAAAAAAAAACATATTGACACAAACCAATCCAAAATGTGAAACTAAATTTATGATTTGTTTTCTTGTATGTACAGTATTGTATGTGGTCTAACATGTATACATGATTTCAATAGCATACTTTGATACCAAAAAAAGGCAGAATTTGTATCTTCTCCTCATTGGGATCAGCTTTATTGACATTTCTTTTTTTCCTCTTTTTCGTAGGATTTGTATTATCTACGATACTAGTGAGCGCCTCATAATGCTCTCTGTATTCAAAACCAAAAAAAGCAGTTGGAATACAGCAGTGTTTATATAAATTAAAACGGAAATACCCTGATGGCACACAAATCCAGATATCTGTTTGGATATATTTTTATGTCTCCATTTTGTGAATAACTATTTTTTTGTTTCATTTGATATTACTTTGCTTTGCTACAGTTCTTTTTTATGCTACCATTATTTGTGAATTAGCCCAAGAATGCTCTATATACAGTATGTAGATATGCACCTTTACTCTTCTTCTTTTTTGCATCTTTGAATTTGGTCTGTAGTTATTTGAATGCAGCCTGGTGGATTAAAGGTGAAATCCTTTAATGGCCGCTGTCAGAAGGAAGGTGACGTGAACAGTTAGCGTTACGTTAACATCGGAGTCTTTGTTTTTAGCTCATCTGAACCCTTACAGAAAACTCAAATGAAATCCCGACATCACAAATACAGCGTGAGAACCACATGATTTTATTTTTTAAGTTGTCAGTGTGTTTGTATTTATTACACATGTATGAAATCATGGATGTTTCGGAGCTGCTGTGTGGACGTCAAACACGGCATGATGACACCAAACACTCATTTGGATC